TGTAAATGTGGGATTTGTGTTGTTTCAGGAACAGTTGGCAGAGGCTCAAGAACTACGTAATAAATTTCGGGATGAGGTATCGAAGAAGATGGGCGAACTTCTTCTTCGAGGGGTCACGATGCTTGATGCATATTGTCAGACCTGCAGCGTGAGATTTGGAACCATTCTCTAATTTTAGGTTACACTAGTAGAAACGAGGTTTGGTTGATCTTCAGGGTATTTTAATGGAAGACCGTAGTGGAGTGCGCACATGTGTCACCTGTGAACTATTTGCTGAACGCACGAAGGAAGGATCGCGATTGGTTGCTGAGGTTCCACTGGGTTGGTGTTTGATTTATGGATCAATTTGGCACGGTTCTAGTCTGTATGTTCTCAGAGGAAAATTAATTCTGTAGATCCTGTTGTACTTTGGAGAAAAATTTCGTTTACAGTCATACTTTAATTCTTATTAAGATACGACTGCGGATGGAGTCACACCTGGAAACAGTGCACTGTCCGAAGAGCAACCAACTATGCGGAACGTGGTGTGTTTTTCTCGTATTTATCTAACCATCATCGTTTAGTTTGAGAACGAAACTGTTTCTTCTTTTACAAATTAAAAACTTGTTTCGTTTACACGATTCTGTGGTGCAGGTCCGTGTGACAGACGTGGATCGGAAAAACTGGGCCGAGAGAATTCCTCCACTCGTTGGATCGAAAGAATCGACACCATCTGCTCCAACCACGTCGGCTACAGCTGAAAGAGTGGGAATGCAGGTCGGTGGCTTTGTACTCGATTCATTATGTGACTTATTTTATTTGATGAATATTATAGGACACACCTTGCTGTTTTGATGGGTGCAATAGAGCACTACTCGCTATCGACAGAAAACTCAAATGGGCAAGCGAGAGAATTGATCGAAGTGAAAATCCTTCTGAGATTAGAGAGATGTTTGCTCTGGTTAACGAAGGGTTGAATATCATCAGGCATGCAAAATTTGATCGTTAATGATGGCAATCAAAAACTCGGTGCAGATTTCTCGTATGTTTCTTGTGTCCTAAAACATTCTCAGTGTAAGGCTGCCACTCGTTTGCTTGTCACAGTTACCGTTCTGCAAGAAGCTGCTATGCATGAATTCTCTAATATTGTTATGCTCGAAAATGCCTATTTGTTGACTTGTTATGTGGTCTGTTTTTACGTAGCTATTCGAAACAGTAAAGGTAATTTCATAATTGGTTGTTCCTAGCAACGTTGCATTTCGGCAGTAATCGATGCCTCTCTTCGTTGGGTCCACGTACACATCATCCGCACCCTACCCTTTATTCTTGCAACTTCTCAGTGTAAAATATGGTACATTTACCCAACATCCTTCCATCGATAGCGCGACGAGCACGTAGTTCTGAAAGTCTGGACACACCGCGACCAAATCTGGTGTTTCGTAAAGCGAAAGTCCTTGGTAAAAGCGTAGAAGAACTGCGAAGGTGGGTGCACGATCGAATGATTTACTACGTATGTGTCCTGGACTGCCCATTCCAGTTCCAACGTTGCTGTCTCTAAACACGAAGTCTCGCGAAGGAATTCTTCGGGTGGCACCGGTTAACAAGATTATAAGCTCAGGAGGTTAGGGTAGCATACCGTATATTAAACTGTGCGCGTCAATTAGTGTGTGTTGTTGGTCGGCTGCACACATTCCCCTCTACTACACGTCGTGCACTTCGAATTCCTCAACTCACCCATTAGTAATCCCTACTTGAACTTGTTTTCTGAAGATTTGATTGAAATTTGGGAGATTTCAGCTGTTAGCGTCGAAACTTTGCTAGAATAGTAATCCTATGGCCTGTTTACGCGAAAACGCGAAAACGTTCTTACTTCCTATGTTGACAACGTTTCACCGTACTTACATCGTTGGCGAACACGAAAGTGAAAAGAAGTTGAAAACTTAACAAAAGTAGTCAACAAGAGAACTAACATCAAATTTCCTGGAATTAACACAAAGTTGGACGGTGGTGGCTTGCATTGAAATGTTTGCGAGGACGGCTATGAACATACGTTTCTTTTTTCTAGCAGTTCAAGATCCGCTTTAGAACTGAAGTTTTCAACATACAAGCGTACACAACATATATCAAATTCAGCGACGTTTTCAGTATGAATAGAGCAAAAAGGCAAAAAATTTAGCAGCAGCACACAACTGTGGAAAACAACAAAGGGGAAAAAAACCTCACTGCTCGTGGTTCTCCAACATTAAGGAATCAAGAGAAGGCTAGAACATCGCCTCAGGCATGAAACGACGTAACTAAATAGGCCGTCGAAACTGGTACCTCTGGTTCCATATATATTTGCTGAGTTGTATGTTAACGACATGTGGGTCATTTTGTTGCTCACAGGTTGCTGATTCGCAACGTAGTCTGCAGACTTTGCTTCAAATGCGTTAATTGGGAAACGGAAACAGGTCATGTTTGCGACTTATTTTGAACCTTCATGCTTGTTCTGTAGCTCTTCGTTACATAAGACACCAAGTAATTCTGAAACTGGCGGGCTGTGCCTCGTAAGTGTTCGGTCAGATTCAACTGTTCATCATTTATTGTTTCTTCCTAAGCAATTTCCCATCCTTTTCACTCTTTGGATTTTCTGCAATCATCGATCACCACAGAAATAGGCACCGTCGTCGTCAACGCCAAAAACTTGGCATTTTGAATTCGGGGCGTCGATCACCTCTAAATGAGAATCTGCGGTGTCAAATCGTCGAATCTCAATGTATGTGAAATTTTGACAAGATTTTCGGGGCCAGAACAGTGTCTAAGTTACGTAATAGGACCGGATTGTCGAGATTCCAGTGCCCAAATTTCAATTCAAAACTTCAACAAAGAAGTCCGAGTACGAGAAAAAAAGATACTCGGGGACCTCGACGTGTAGTAGAGGGGAATGTGTGCAGCCGACTAACAAGACACACTAATTGACGCGCACCGTTTAATATACGGTATACTACCCTAACCTCCTGAGCTTATAATCTTGTGTTTGACCCGGTACGTTTGAGCCCTTGTTGCTGGGAGGCGAACGTTTTCCGCTTTGTATATTAAGGATTCGGTGAGGTAAGTTATGTAAATTGTTCTTATTCATTCGATAAAAAAAAAGGATTATAGATCGCTCATACAAGTTGTGCCGCCGCGTCTCTCTAAACGAGAGTTGCTTTCATACTTTTGTCACCGTGCGTGAGCCTAGCGTATGAGAGATGCGTTTGGTACCAGTAAAAAACCTATACCCCAAGTCGGCGGGGGTCTGCGCGTTCCGGTGTGCCAGTTCCGGCTACAATTAGAGACTGAAGTGGCTGACCAACGTGCACGAAAAGGTCCAACGATTCGCCAACCTCTAAACACAGTCGCAGCAGGGGTTCTTACCTCGATTCTAATGGTGGAAATGATGCGTTAGCCCTAGTCAAGATTATGAGAAGTGTGACTGATCAAAAAACTCACATTGGAAAGCCGTCAGAAAGGGATTTGAACGCCTGTGTGTATGGCGGTAGTCAAAAAATCAAGAATTTCGTTTGAAAAAATTGCAGTTTTTGGTCCATTGCGAGCAGATCGGTTAAGACAGGCGAAAAATAGAATGGGGTAAAGGGTACTTAGGAGGACAGAACGCGACTTTTTCGCTCTTCGCAACGCGACATCGCGCGGCAGGCTGGCGCACCCGCAGCGAAAACAACTACGGTATGGAAGAACGCGCGATTGGAGCGCGATATTTGTGTCGGCTTTGATTGCGACAAGGAGTTTGAAGCTTAATAGCCATGGATTTGATAATGAACGAGGAAATGGTAACCAGAAGTGGACCGCTAACTAGCAGTGAAGAGGGAGGTAGGTTATTTTTGCAGAGATGGATGGTAGAGCTTCTGGAGAACCTGGAAGAGGAATGGTTGATGGACGTTTGATGAGACGACTGTAAACTTCTGCATAGGGGTTATTTGGGGCCCTGATCATGAATATGACACTCATTTTTCACATTCGTGCTGTTTAACGCATACTTTCTGCTTTCCTAAGCTTTCTTACCTACAGCGCTTACGACTAAGCTTAGGGGAGGGGAGTGAAACTTCTGAGTGAGTAAACCACGCACCGGAGTGTGTCAGACCACAGGGGAATGGCCTACCCACTTTGGAGCCCTACACTACTCAAAGGCTTAGTCCTATTGCGATCTAATTAGTGCGAGGGCGCAGACGAGCAGGAAGCAGGCGCCGAATAGCGCTAACAACAAATCAGGACCCCGAATAACCCCTATACAGAAGTTTACAGCGAATTTAGTGGGAATCAGTTGTGGCGCCACCCGGCCCCAAATGGCGCCAGCGTCAAAAATGAGTATCATATCCGTGATGAGGACAGAAGCGTTCCGTAAAAGATGTTATACCCTTATGCAGATGTCTATACAACAATATGAACCCACAAAATGCAAGCACAAGCGACACTATTAAACCCTCGTTCACCGATAATTCGTAAAACACCATTTGTGTGGCATCGCCCGGAATCGTGTAAGTCACAAAACGTTTTCAATAATGAGACAGAATTAGTGATTCACCGCATTTATCAATACAATGGGTGTGAGCGCGGGCAAGTAAGGAATCAGAAACTTACAAATTCACGCATGCAAAAAAAGCTGCTCCAATCGCGCGTTCTTCCATACCGTAGTTGTTTTCGCTACGGGTGCGCCAGCCTGCCGCGCGATGTCGCGTTGCGAAGAGCGAAAAAGTCGCGTTCTGTCCTAAGTACCCACACCCTGAACGCCTCGAAGTGGGCGTGGTGACCGATCTGCTGCAGCGCGTTCTTGCGCGATTGCATGCAACTGTCCGCGTTTCAAAATTAATGCTGCCTCTTTTGATTGGTTTTACTTGCTTAACTCATTTAATTATCGTATTTCTTTGTTTGTACTGATGCATATGTCTCTGTTGTATTGGTGCATATGCGATTGCAGCCGCATTTCTTGCTGGCACGAGCCAGCAAAAAATGCCGGCGGAGCAAGCTAGTTCGGACAGCTCGTCCGACACGCCCTTCCTTCATTTCAAAGGGGGAAGAGGAGGAGTCCCTGTTCAAAGGCTTCATCGGCGCTTTTCTCCCATTGGCAGTCAACTCGCCATCTAAAACTTCATTATTGACCGTTTTTACCCAGCGAATCCGATCTAGAATTATGCTTTGAGCAGAGTTTTTTTTCATGGATTGAACACACGTTTAATGAATTCGCAAAGGTGAGGTATGATAGGTATATGAGGAATTTGCAAAGGTGCAACTGATTTCGCGATGTGAAAGTGATTGACAGGAGCGCTGAAAACTCGTGTCAATAGTAATGACCTAATGACGCCCAACAGGCACCGTTCCGTCGCGAATCAAATTCTCGTATGCTGCGATACCATCTATCTTTTACTTTTTTATGTGTTCTCTAATCTCTCCTTTATCTGCTCACTCATTTCGGTGTTTATTGCAGGGTCCTGTCTAATGGTGCTCTACCAGCTAGGGCATTTGTGGTTTCAGATTTTGGAAAAGCAGTGGTGATATTCCAAGGTTCCATGGGGGGGGGGGGGGCGTAGTTGGGAAAAATTAGGAGGGGTCATTGATTTAGAAACGAAGCGATATCGAATCCTATTAAAGGCAGTGGGTGCAATAGTTGGAATGACGGAGCAAATTTGGAGACGTCATTGGTGTGAAGGTTTTGGAATTTGGTCCGAACCAGCCTTTTAAAGGGGTTGTCGCACTGCTTTCAGACGCTCCACCAAGCACCTTCAAACTACTAGCCCGCCTCCCAACCATCGTGCTTACTCTTGAGGGTGGAAAGACTCGGCGTGAAGATGGGCTGGCCCTTGAAAGACATTGATTAAGCTAAATGAACACCCGGATTTGTGAAGGGTAAATGGGAAACGTTCCTCCGAAATATCGAGCGACGCAGACCTTGTCATACAGCTCATTTCTGATTAGCAGGCCCTGCGGCGCTCATACAGTGGTCCGGCAACAAAGGAATAGACAGCCAGAATTACC